CTCCCTTTTCTTCCCTCCGCTCTCACACAAACATGCTCCCACCAACAATACCCCTCACAGCGACCCGCCCTGTTACATCACCAAACAAACGGCGCGGTGATTGGTCCGTAGGGGGAGGTTATGGTTCGGAATTTGAATGGCAGGCTTTCCGCCCAATAGCGGTTAGGAAGGGGCGGACTGCCGGGGGAGGAGGACCAATAGCGGCAGGCGGAAGGCTTTTGGTATCCTCGTTGTTCGGTTGTCGATCATTTCCGTCAGACAGGAGGATCCATCGCCCGCGCGGGAGGACAGAGAGACCGGAGAGGTGAGGGGGGGACCATGGATCAGGGGGGGGGGGGTACCGGAAAGGTGAGGGGGGGGGGGCGATGGGCAGAGGGGGATGACCGGGGATGGGGGAGGGGGGGGAAGGGGGGTGATCAGAGGGAGAGGGGGGATGGGTAGAGGGGTGATCAGAGAGGGGGGATGGGTAGAGGGGTGATGGGTAGAGGGGTGATCAGAGAGGGGGGATGGGTAGTCAGAGAGGGGTGATCAGAGAGGGGGGATGGGTTAGAGGGGTGATCAGAGAGGGGGGGGGGGGGCAGAGGGGGTGATCAGAGGGGGGCGATGGGCAGAGGGGTGATCAGAGAGTGGGGGGGGGGGGGGCGATGGCCAGAGGGGCGATCAGAGAGGAGGGGGCGATGGGCAAGGGGCGATCAGAGAGGGGGGGGGGTGATGGGCAGAGGGGTGATCAGAGAGTGGGGGGGGCAAGGGGCGATCAGAGAGGGGGGGGGGGTGATGGGCAGAGGGGTGATCAGAGAGGGGGGGGGGGGGATGGGCAGGGGGCGATCAGAGAGGGGGGGGGGGGGGGGGCGATGGGCAGAGGGGCGATCATAGAGGGGGGCGATGGGCAGAGGGGCGATCAGAGGGGGGGGGGGCGATGGGCAGAGGGGCGATCATCAGGGGGGGGGGCGATGGGCAGAGGGGCGATCAGGGGGGGGGGGCGATGGGCAGAGGGGCGATCAGAGGGGGGGGGGGCGATGGGCAGAGGGGCGATCAGAGGGGGGGGGGGGGGGCGATAGATGGGCAGAGGGGCGATCAGAGAGGGGGGGGGGGCGCGATGGGCAGAGGGGGCGATCAGAGGGGGGGGGGGCGATGGGCAGAGGGGCGATCAGAGGGGGGGGGGGGGGCGCGATGGGCAGAGGGGCGATCAGAGAGGGGGGGGGGCGATGGGCAGAGGGGCGATCAGAGAGGGGGGGGGCGATGGGCAGAGGGGCGATCAGAGAGGGGGGGGGCGATGGGCAGAGGGGCGATCAGAGGGGGGGGGGGCGATGGGCAGAGGGGCGATCAGAGGGGGGGGGGCGATGGGCAGAGGGGCGATCAGAGAGGGGGGGGGGGCGATGGGCAGAGGGGCGATCAGAGGGGGGGGGGGCGGGGCAGAGGGGCGATCAGAGGGGGAGGGGGGGTGATGGGCAGAGGGGCGATTAGAAGAGGGGGGGGGGGCGATGGGCAGAGGGGGGCGATCAGAGAGGGGGGGGGGCGATGGGCAGAGGGGGGCGATCAGAGAGGGGGGGGGGGGGCGATGGGCAGAGGGGCGATCAGAGAGGGGGGGGGGGGGGGGGCGATGGGCAGAGGGGCGATCAGAGGGGGGGGCGATGGGCAGAGGGGGCGATCAGAGTGGGGGGGGGGGGCGATGGGCAGAGGGGCGATCAGAGGGGGGGGGGCGATGGGCAGAGGGGCGATCAGAGGGGGGGGGGGCGATGGGCAGAGAGGGGTGATCAGAAGAGGGGGGGGCGATGGCCAGAGAGGGGTGATCACAGAGGGGGGGGGGGGGCGATGGCCAGAGGGGCGATCAGAGAGGAGGGGGCGATGGGCAAGGGGGCGATCAGAGGGGGGGGGCAAGGGGCGATCAGAGAGGGGGGTGATGGGCAGAGGGGTGGAGAGGGGGGGGCAGAGGGGCGATCAGAGAGGGGGGGGGGGCGATGGGCAGAGCGGGGGTGATCAGAGAGGGGGGGGGGGCGATGGGCAGAGGGGTGATCAGAGAGGGGGGGGGGGGCGATGGGCAGAGGGGCGATCAGAGAGGGGGGGGGGGGCGATGGGCAGAGGGGGGGGGGGCGATCAGAGAGAGGGGGGGGGGGCGATGGGCAGAGGGGGCGATCAGAGAGGGGGGGGGCGATGGGCAGAGGGGCGTATCAGAGGGGGGGGGGGGGGGGCGCGATGGGCAGAGGGGCGAGAGGGGGGGGGGCGATGGGCAGAGGGGCGATCAGAGAGGGGGGGGGGCGATGGGCAGAGAGGGGCGATCAGAGGGGGGGGGGGGGGGCGATGGGCAGAGGGGGCGATCAGAGAGAGGGGGGGTGATCAGAGGGGCGGGGGGGCGATGGCGATGGAGAGGGGTGATCACAGAGGGGGGGGGGGGCGATGGGCAAGGGGCGATCAGAGGGGGGGGGGGGGGGGGCACAGAGGGGCGATCAGAGAGGGGGGGGGGGTGATGGGCAGAGGGGGATTCAGAGAGGGGGGGGCAGAGGGGCGATCAGAGAGGGGGGGGGGCGATGGGCAGAGGGGTGATCAGAGAGGGGGGGGGCGATGGGCAGAGGGGGGGGTGATCAGAGAGGGGGGGGGGGCGATGGGGGCAGAGGGGGGCGATCAGAGGGGGGGGGGCGATGGGCAGAGGGGCGATCAGAGAGGGGGGGGGCGATGGGCAGAGGGGGGCGATGGGCAGAGGGGGGGGGGCGATGGGCAGAGGGGCGATCAGAGGGGGGGGGGCGATGGGCAGAGGGGGTGATCAGAGGGGGGGGGCGATGGATGGGCAGAGGGGTGATCAGAGGGGGGGGGGGGCGATGGGCAGAGGGGGTGATCAGAGAGGGGGGGGCGGGCAGAGGGGTGATCAGAGAGGGGGGGGCGATGGGCAGAGGGGGAGGGGGGGGGCGATGGGCAGAGGGGCGATCAGAGGGGGGGGGGGGCGATGGGCAGAGGGGCGATCAGGGGAGAGGGGGGGCGATGGGCATGAGGGGCGATCAGGGGGGGCGATGGGCAGAGGGGCGAGGGATGGGCAGGGGGCGATCATGGAGGGGGGGGGGGGCGATGGGCAGTAGGGGCGATCAGAGGGGGGATGGGCAGTAGAGGGGCGATCAGAGGGGGGGGGGGCGATGGGCAGATGGGCGACGATCAGAGGGGGGGGGGGCGATGGGCAGAGGGGGGTGGGGGGCGATGGGCAGAGGGGCGATCAGAGGGGGGGGGCGATGGGCAGAGAGGGGCGATCAGAGGGGGGGGGGGGGGGGCGATGGGCAGAGGGGCGATCAGAGGGGGGGGGGGCGATGGGCAGAGGGGGCGATCAGAGGGGGGGGGGGCGTTTGGGATGGGCAGAGGGGGGGGGGCGATCAGAGGGGGGGGGGCGATGGGCAGAGGGGGCGATCAGAGGAGGGGGGGGGGGGGCGATGGGCAGAGGGGCGATCAGAGGGGGGGGGGCGATGGGCAGAGGGGCGATCAGAGGGGGGGGGGGCGATGGGCAGAGGGGGGCGATCAGAGGGGGGGGGCGATGGGCAGAGATCAGAGGGGGGGGGGGCGATGGGCAGAGGGGTGTTAAGGGGGGGGGCGATGGGCAGAGGGGTTTCAGAGGGGGGGGGGGGCAGATGGGCAGAGGGGGGGGCGATCAGAGGGGGGGGGGGGGCAATGGGCAGAGGGGTGATAGAGAGTGGGGGGGGGCGATGGGCAGAGGGGGGGGGGCGATGGGCAGAGGGGTGTTAAGAGGGGGGGGCGATGGGCAGAGGGGGGGGTGATGGGCAGAGGGGTGATCGGGGGGGGAGGCGATGGGCAGAGGGGGGGGCGATGGGCAGAGGGGCGATCAGAGGGGGGGGGGGCGATGGGCAGAGGGGGTGTTAAGATGGGGGGGGTGCGATGGGCAGAGGGGCGATGGGCAGAGGGGGGGGGGGGGCGATGGGCAGAGAGGGGGGGGGGGCGATGGGCAGAGGGGTGACTGGTGATGAGGGGGGAGGTGTTTAAGATGGGAGGGGATGACCGGAGAGGTCGAGATGGGTGATTGGAGGGGGGCGGGGTGAGAGGGGTTACCGATGAGGGGGGGGATGGTAGAGACAGGTTACCGGGGGGGGGGGGGGGGGTGACCGGTGAGGTGGGGTGGTGGGACGGGCGACGGGAGGGTATGGGGGAGAGGGGTGACCGGAGATGTGAGGGGGGGGGACGTGGGATAACCGGGGTGACGGGCAGGGCGATGGGCAGAGGGGTGACTGGTGGGGGGGGGGGGGGTGGGAGAGGTGACCAGAGTGGTGAGGGGGGCAAGGGAGAACTGGGGGTGACTGGAGGGGAGGGAACAGGGGGAAAACTGGGGTGAGGGAGATCCAGGGTGACCGGGGGGGGGGGCAAGAGGAGTGACGGGGTGGGGGAGGAAGAGAGGTGATGGGGGGTAGGGGAGACCGGGAGAGGTGAGGAGGGGAGGGGGCGAGGGAGAACCGGGGTGTCGAAAGAGGTGGGGGGGCAAGGGGAGAGAACTGAGGTGACTGGAGAGGTGAGGGAGAATCTGGGTGAGCGGGAGGGGGGCGGGGGGGCAGAGGGGTGACGGGGGGGGGAGAGGTGAGGGAGGGGGTGAGGGAGAATCTGGGTGAGCGGAGAGGTGGGGGCGATGGGCAGAGGGGTGACGGGGGGGGAGGTGACTGGAGATGGGGGGGGGGGTGACCGGAGTGGTGGTGGGGGCTGATTGTGGATACCATTGTGATCAGTGTTGGGATGAAGAATCCTCGGCCCCCATTGTCTCCGGCCACCACTCTTCTCACCTTCTGCAACCTCCCTCCACCGCTGCCACCACCATCCTCCCCTCCACCACATACCACCCCCACTCTCTGGCCTGTGGGGTGGGCACTCTGGTTCTGTGTTCTATGGACCGGCTGTAGTCGGTGAGGGCCACCCCAGGGGGGATCACTTGCCACCCCAGGGGGGGATCACTTGCCACCCCAGGGGGGATCACTTGCCACCCAGGGGGGATCACTTACCTCTCCTCTTCCTTCCAGCTGAAGATGCAGGGAAACCGCGGATTTCGGTCAGAACAGCAGAACCACGCCCACAGGAAACACCAACATCAGCAGGAGCATGAGACCCCATCCCCCACCAACGGACAGAACCCCAATACCCGTGAGTACAACAGGGGCACTCCGATGTTATGGGGGGAGGGGTACGATCCCTGTATATATAGCAAGGGAGGGGCACAGCCCTCCGTGTACATTACAAGGGGGGGGGGGGGCACAGCCCTCCGTGTACATTACAAGGGGGGGGGGGCACACAGCCCTCCGTGTACATTACAAGGGGGGGGGGGCGGGGCCACAGCCCTCTGTGTACATTACAAGGGGGGGGGGGGCACAGCCCTCCGTGTACATTACAAGGGGGGGGGGGGGGCACAGCCCTCCGTGTACATTACAAGGGGGGGGGGGGCCACAGCCCTCCGTGTACATTACAAGGGGGAGGGGCACATAATTCTGTGGGGGGGTGGGGGCTTGGCCTGTGTAGGTGGGGGGGGGCGGGGGCTCGGCCTGTGTAGGAGGGCTCGGCCCGCGTAGGGGGGAGGGGCGGGGGCTCGGCCCGCGTGGGGGAGGGGGCGGGGGCTCGGCCCGCGGGGGGGAGGGCGGGGGGGTCTCGTGGGGCGGGGGGCTCGGCCCGCGGGGGGGGGGGTCTCGTGGGGGGGGCGGGGGGCTCAGCCCGCGTGGGGGTGGGGCGGGGGGGCTCGGCCCGCGTGGGGGCGGGGGGCTCGGCCCGCGGGGGGGGGGGGCTCGGCGCGCGTTCGGGGGGGCGGGGGGGGGGGGGGCTCGGCTCGGCCCCGCGTGGGGGGCGGCCCGCTGTGGGGGCGGGCGGCTCGGCCGCGTGGGGGGCGGGGGGGCCCCGGTGGGGGCGGGGCGGGGGGCTGCCGCGGGGGCGGGGGGAGGCTCGGCCCGCGTGGGGGCGGGGGCGCGGGGGGGGCTCGGCCCGCGTGGGGGGGCGGGGCTCGGCGGAGGGGGGGGCGGCTCGGCCCCGGGGGGGTGGGGGCGGGGGCTCGGGCCGTGTGGGGAGGGGCGGGGGGCTCGGCCCGCGGAGGAGGGGCGGGGGGCTCGGGCCCGCGGAGGGGCGGAGGGGGGGCGGGGGGCTCGGCCCGCGTGGGGAGGGGGGCGGGGGCTTGGCCCATGCTCACATGTTGTCCTATTTGAATTCTAATGCTGACATTCTACATTGATTTGTGTGGGGGGGGGGATGGGGAGGTGTTATAATGGGGACTTCCTCTTCCCTTCCCCCAGATGAGGGGGTCACCATCGACCTGAAGAGCTTCAGGAAGCCGGGGGAGAAGACCTACACTCAGCGCGCAGCCGCCTCTTCGTGGGCAACCTACCTCCCGACGTCACAGATGAAGAGATGCGCAAATTGTTTGAGAAATACGGCAAAGCCGGGGAGATCTTCATCCACAAGGACAAAGGATTCGGCTTCATCAGGCTGGTGGGTGGGGGCTGGGATTTGTATGTAATTGGGGGGGGGGGCATATTTGAGGGAAGGGGGTACTCTTCTATGTCTCGGGGTTCTGTGTTTTCACTGGGACATAACAATGGGGCTTCTTGGTGTACGGGGTCATGGGGGGAGGGTTCTCGGTGCATGGGAGGGGGGGCGATTCTAGGTGCTGGTTGGGTACAGTCATCAGTATTCATGGGGGAGGAGGGTTCTGTGGACTAGTTGTATACAGTGTCATGGGGGGAGGGTTCTAGGTGCTGGTTGTATACAGTGTCATGGGGGGGAGGGTTCTAGGTGCTGGTTGTATACAGTGTCATGGGGGGAGGGTTCTAGGTGCTAGTTGTTACAGTGTCATGGGGGGAGGGTTCTAGGTGCTGGTTGTATACAGTGTCATGGGGGGAGGGTTCTGTGGACTAGTTGTATACAGTGTCATGGGGGGGGGAGGGTTCTGTGGACTAGTTGTATACAGTGTCATGGGGGGAGGGTTCTGTGGACTAGTTGTATACAGTGTCATGGGGGGAGGGTTCTGTGGACTAGTTGTATACAGTGTCATGGGGGGAGGGTTCTGTGGACTAGTTGTATACAGTGTCTGGGGGGAGGGTTCTGTGGACTAGTTGTATACAGGGTCATGGGGGGAGGGTTCTGTGGACTAGTTGTATGCAGTGTCATGGGGGGGGAGGGTTCTAGGTGCTGGTTGTGTACAGTGTCATGGGGGGAGGGTTCTAGGTGCTGGTTGTGTACAGTGTCATGGGGGGAGGGTTCTAGGTGCTGGTTGTGTACAGTGTCATGGGGGGAGGGTTCTAGGTGCTGGTTGTGTACAGTGTCATGGGGGGAGGGTTCTAGGTGCTGGTTGTGTACAGTGTCATGGGGGGAGGGTTCTAGGTGCTGGTTGTGTACAGTGTCATGGGGGGGGAGGGTTCTAGGTGCTGGTTGTGTACAGTGTCATGGGGGGAGGGTTCTAGGTGCTGGTTGTGTACAGTGTCATGGGGGGGAGGGTTCTAGGTGCTGGTTGTATACAGTGTCATGGGGGGGAGGGTTCTAGGTGCTGGTTGTGTACAGTGTCATGGGGGGAGGGTTCTGTGGTGACTAGTTGTGTACAGTGTCATGGGGGGAGGGTTCTAGGTGCTGGTTGTGTTACAGTGTCATGGGGGGAGGGTTCTAGGTGCTGGTTGTGTACAGTGTCATGGGGGGAGGGTTCTAGGTGCTGGTTGTGTACAGTGTCATGGGGGGAGGGTTCTAGGTGCTGGTTGGTTGTATACAGTGTCATGGGGGGAGGGTTCTAGGTGTGGTTGTGTACAGTGTCATGGGGGGAGGGTTCTAGGTGCTGGTTGTGTACAGTGTCATGGGGGGAGGGTTCTGTGGCTAGGTTGTGTACAGTGTCATGGGGGGAGGGGGTTCTAGGTGCTGGTTGTGTACAGTGTCATGGGGGGAGGGTTCTAGGTGCTGGTTGTGTTACAGTGTCATGGGGGAGGGTTCTAGGTGCTGGTTGTGTTACAGTGTCATGGGGGGGAGGGTTCTAGGTGCTGGTTTGTGTACAGTGTCATGGGGGGAGGGTTCTAGGTGCTGGTTGTGTACAGTGTCATGGGGGGGGGGGTTCTAGGTGCTGGTTTTGTGTACAGTGTCATGGGGGGGTGGGTTTAGGTTCTAGGTGACTGGTTTTGTTATACAGTGTCATGGGGGGAGGGTTCTAGGTGCTGGTTGTGTACAGTGTCATGGGGGGAGGGTTCTAGGTGCTGTGTTGTGTACAGTGTCATGGGGGGAGGGTTCTAGGTGCTGGTTGTGTACAGTGTATGGGGGGAGGGGTTCTAGTGGTATAGGATTGCTGGTTGTGCTACAGTGTGTCTCCCCGGGGGGGAGGGTTTAGGTGCTGGTTTATGTACAGTGTCATGGGGGGATGGGGGTTCTAGGTGCTGGTTGTGTACGTGTCATGGGGGGAGGGTTCTGTGGACTAGTTGTGTACAGTTGTCATGGGGGAGGGTTTTAGGTGCTGGTATTTGTGTACAGTTTGTCATGGGGGGAGGGAGATTCTAGGTGCTGGTTGTGTACAGTGTCATGGGGGGAGGGTTCTAGGTGCCTGTTTGGTTGTGTACAGTGTCATGGGGGGAGAGGGTTCTAGTGCTTGTTGTGTGTTACAGTGTCATGGGGGGAGGGTATTCTAGGTGCTGGTTGTGTACAGTGGTCATTGGGGGGGAGGGTTCTAGGTGCTGGTTTTGTGTACATTGTCATGGGGGGAGGGTTTAGCTGGGTGCTGGTTGTGTACAGTGTCATGGGGGGAGGGTTCTAGGTGCTGGTTGTGTACAGGTCATGGTGGGGGGAGGGTTCTAGGTGCTGGTTGTATACAGTGTCATCTAGGGGGAGGGTTCTAGGTGCTGGTTGTGTACAGTGTACATGGGGGGAGGGTTCTGTGCTAGTTGTGTACAGTTGTCATGGGGGGGGGGTTTCTAGGTGCTGGTTGTGTCAGTGTCATGGGGGAGGGGTCTAGGTGTGCTGGTTGTGTACAGTGTCATGGGGGGAGGGTTCTAGGTGCTGGTTGTGTACGAGTCGTCATGGGGGGACAGGGTTCTAGGTGCTGGTTGTATACAGTGTCATGGGGGGGAGGGTTCTAGGTTAGGGGTTGTGTATTGACTAAAGTGTCATGGGGGGAGGGTTCTAGGTGCTGGTTGTGTACAGTGTCATGGGGGGGGGTTCTGTGGACTAGTTAGGTGTACAGTGTCATGGGGGGCTGGGGTTCTAGGTGCTGGTTGTGTACAGGGGGGGGGGGCTCTAGGTGCTGGTTTTAGTCAAGGACTTAATCATCAGGTTATCTGGTTCTGTCCTAATTAATGATGTGGCCTGTTACAGGGGGGAGGGGCTCTAGCTGCTGGAATGTGTGCACATGAAGAAACTCACAGGTGCTTTGTGTACTGTGGAAAACTAGGTCTCTGTGTGTACATTGATAGGGAGGGGCTCTTAAAGGTGAATGGTTAATATGTACAGAATGGGGGGGGCATCTAGGTGCTGGTTGTGTACAGGGGGTAAGGGGCATATTAGTCTTTGATTGGTCACTTTACAGGGGGAAAACAATCTCCGTCATGGTATAGGGTGATCTCCATCTTATCTTATAGGGGAGAAAAACATTCTTTGTCTTCCAAATTGTACACGGTGGGGGGGGGGGGGGTGTGTTCCTGTGAGCAGGGGGGGGCTCTAGGTACCACAAAGTACAGGCAGGCAGGGGGCTCTAGTGCATATGTTTGTACAGGGGGGGGGGCTTTATGTATAGAAATTAGCGATATATATATGTATTCAATAGGAAACGAAATAGGCATTTTTGTGTGTAATCCATCAGGGCTGGGTAATGTACGGGGTCGGGGCACTTAGGTAGGGAGTTGTGTACAGGGGGGGGGGCTCTAGGTGCTGGCGGCTGTGTACAGGGGGGGGGGGGGCCGGCTGTGAACTAGGTGCTGGCTGGTTGTGTACAGGGGGAGGGGCTCTAGGTGCTGGTTGTGTACTGGCTGTAGGTGCTGGTTGTGTACAGGGGGGGGGGGGGCTCTAGGTGCTGTGTACAGGGAGGGGTTGTGTAGGGGGAGGGGTGTAGGGCTCTAGGTGCTGGTTGTGTACAGGGGGAGGGGGGGGCTCTGTAGGTGCTGGTGTGTGTGGGCGGGTCTAGGTGCGGGGGGCTGTAGGTGCTGGTTCTGTACATGTTGCTGGTGTGTGTGTACAGGGGGGGGGCTCTAGGTGCTGGTTGTGTACAGGGGGGGGGGGCTCTAGTGTGCTGGTTGTGTACAGGGGGGGGGGCTCTAGGTGCTCTAGGTGCTGGTGCTGTGTGTACAGGGGGTCTAGGTGTGGGGCTCTAGGTGCTGGTTGTGTACAGGGGGGGGGGGGGCTCTAGGGGCTGGTTGTGTACAGGGGGGGGGGGGGGCTTAGGTGCTGGTTGTGTACAGGGGGGGGGGGGGCTCTGGGGTAAGGTGCTGGTTGTGTACAGGGGGGGGGGGGGGTGCTGGTTGATTGTAGGTGCTGGTGGTTGTGTACAGGGGGGGGCTCTAGGTGGGGTGTTGCTCTAGGTGCTGTTGTGTACGGGGGGGCTTAGGTGCTGGTTGTGTGTCTGGGGGCTACAGGGCTGGTTGTGGTGGGGGGCTCTAGGTGTGGTTGATTTAGGTGCTGGTTGTGGTAGGGGGGGGGGGGGTGCTGGTTGTGTCCGGGGGGGCTCTAGGTAGGTGTGGTTGTGTACAGGGGGGGGGGGGGTGCTCCGGGGGGGGCTCTAGGTTGTGTACACAGCTTGGTTGTGGTCCGGGGGCTCTAACCTGGTTGTCGTCAGGGGGGGGGGGCTCTAGGGGGCTGGTTGTGTAGGGAGGGGTCTCTAGGTTGGGTTGGGGGGGGGGGGGGCTCTAGGTGCTGGTTGTGTACAGGGGGGGGCGGGGGGGGGCTCTAGGTGCTGGTTGTGTAGCGGGTGGCGGGGGGGGACTCTAGGGTGCAGGGGGGGGGGGCTACGGGGGGGCTTAGGTGCTGGTTGTGTACAGGGGGGGGGGGGGGGCTTCTAGGTGCTGGTTGTGGGGGGGGGGGGGGCTCTAGGTGCTGGTTGTGTACGGGGGGGGCTCTAGGGGGGGGGGGCTCTAGGTGCTGGTTGTGTACAGGGGGGGGGGGGGGGCTCTAGGTGCTGGTTGTGTACAGGGGGGGGGGGGGGCTCTAGGTGCTGGTTGTGTACAGGGGGGGGGGCTCTAGGTGTGGTTGTGTACACTGGGGGGGGGGGGTGCTGGTTGAGTCGGGGGGCGGCGGGGGGGGTCTAGGTGTGGTTGTGGGGGGGGGCTCTAGGTTGCTGGTTGTGTTACAGGGGGGGGGGGCTCTCTAGGTGCTGGTTTGTGTAGGTTGGGGGTGGGGGGGGCTCTAGGTGCTGGTTGTGTACAGGGGGGGGGCTCTAGGTGCTGGTTGTGTACAGGGGGGGGGGGGGGCTCTAGGTGCTGGTTGGTTTGTCACCCAGGGGGGGGGGGGGGCTCTAGGTGCTGGTTGTGTCCAGGGGGCGGGGGGGGGGCTCTAGGTGCTGGTTGTGTACGGTGGGGCTCTAGGTGCTGGTTGTGTGGGGGGGGGGCTCTAGGTGCTGGTTGGTGTGACAGGACGGGGGGGCTCTAGGTGCTGGTTGTGTAGGGGGGGCTCTAGGTGCTGGTTGTGTACTGAGGGGGGGGTCTAGGTGCTGGTTGTGTACGGGGGGGCTCTAGGTGCTGGTTGTGTACTTGGGGGGGGGGCTCTAGGTGCTGGTTGTGTTACGGGGGGGGGGGCTCTAGGTGCTGGTTGTGTACACTGGTCTTGACACTCTGTGATTTCTCCTCTGCAGGAGACTCGCACCCTTGCCGAGATTGCGAAGGCCGAGCTGGACAATCTTTCCATTGCGAGGGATAGGAAAGCAGTTGCAGCGTTCGATTTGCCTGTCACAGCGCGGCGCTCTCTGTCAGTGTGGGGAACCTCCCTCAGTTTGTCTCCAACGAGTGCTTGTTAGAAGAGGCCCTTCTCCATATTCGTGTCAGTGGGGGAGGAGAGCCATCGTCATTGGGGACGATCGCGACCCTTCCTGAGGCCTGTGGCTGGCGTCAAAAAAGCCCCAGGATTTCCAAATTGGGGAGTTTGCGTCAGAAGCCGAGGCAGCGCGGAAAGCTCTCGATCGTTGTGTGACGGCTCCTATCTTCTCACGCAGTGAGTTACACGCTGCCGAGGATGACCGGGAAACCCCCATCCCCCCCCCCCCCCAGTGAGGTATCCCACCCCCAGTGGTATCCCCCCTCCATGTCGGGTCTCTGATCCTCGGTGTGATCTCTCTGCTGAGCTCAGACAGGGTTTGAAGTGGAAGTTCCGCATGCCAGTTCAGTGTGGTGGAGGGGAAGGGAGGACAGTTTCAGTGTGGGGGAGGGAGGGGGACAGTTCGAAGGGTGGGGGAGGGAGGGACAGTTCTCAGTGATTGGGGTTAGGGGGAAGGACAGTTCAGTGTGGGGGAGGGGAGGACAGTTCAGATGCCTTGCTGGGTTGTTTACTGCAATTTGGGGGGTTTGTTACAGAATATTTCCTTTGCTATCTGTCCCTGAGACCATAATCTCTCCACAGACAGGAAGTGATCGAGGTGGCGGGAGGTGGTCACATGGGTCACATGCGCGGTGGCGGTCGTCGGGGTCACATGCGCGGTCACATGCGCGTGCGGTGTGGATCGGGTCGGTCGTCGGGTCACATGCGCAGGCGGTCGTCGGGTCACATGCGCGGGCGGCGGTTGGACACTTGGACATACATACATACTGACTATAGAACTGACCGTGTTTGTGTCTTGTCCAGGTTTCCGCGTCCAATCACTGTAGAAACGATGGATCAGCTGGATGATGAGGAAGGATTTTACCGGAGAAACTTATTGCTAAAAACCAGTCCTACCACAAGTGTAAGTAGCCTCCCGGGGTTCCCGCGGGGGTGAGTAGCCTCCCTGGGGTTCCCGCCGGGGTGAGTAGTAGCCTCTCCGGGGTTCCCGCCGGGGGTGAGTAGCCTCTAGGAATCGCCCCATCTAGGAATTGCTTGCCTGGCTTCCACTTGCTGACTGATGCACGCAGCTGCACCCACAATCTTGGGTACCTTTTTCCAGCCAGCAATCAGCTGCTGTAGGTAGTAAGTGGTCAGGATGGCTTCCCAATTCAGTGGTTTCACAGCTGCCATTTTCTGCCCGTTACAGCCGGGGGGGAAGTAATTATCCAAGTACAACCTGTGCTTCATTAGTTACTTTGAAGGGCTCAATACACCTGATGTCTCCATGAAGAGTACTAGTCACCTGCTCACTTGTGACTGCCAGAAGTGGCGCCCCCGGGGTGCCCTGCCAGAAGTGGCGCCCCCGGGGTGCCCTGCCGGAAGTGGCGCCCCCGGGTGCCACTGCCGGAAGTGGCGCCCCCGGGGTGCCACTGCCGGAAGTGGCGCCCCCGGGGTGCCCTGCCGGAAGTGGCGCCCCCGGGGTCTCCTGGCACAAGTTTTTTGGGTGTCTAAGTAACCGCAAAAAAAAAAAAAATCTGATTTAACCTGTTTGTGAAAAAATTAAACACTTTCCTGGACAGCAAGTGGTTACAAATAATGTGTGGGAAATGTGAGCATTACACTGTGGGCTTTTGAGGTGGGGAGGGGCAGAGTTGGAAGAGGGGGAGGGGCAGAGTTGGAAGAGGGGGAGGGGCAGAGTTGGAAGAGGGGGAGGGGCACATTTTTGCACTCCGTTTCACGTGCCTTTAGCAATGACCGGGAAAAAATGAAAGCAGACTTGTCTTTGCTGGTTCTGTGAAAACCCAAACGAATGGCCCTGCCGACGACTTGCCCTCGAAGTTCTGTGGAAGGAAGTTGTTTGCTCTGGACGCGCGGGAGCGGCTCTCGCCTCTCCTGGACCTGAAAACGTTTTTTTTTCGGCACTGCCAAAGTCTCGTTCTCAGCCCTCCAGAACGGTGGGGGGGGGGGGGGGTCGTGATCTCTGGGTTTTGAGGCTGTCACTTTTCCCATTGCAGGGAACGGGAACAACTCCCTCGCTTTGCTCAGCCGGGCAGCTTTGAGTATGAATACGCGACGCGTTGGAAGGCCCTGATAGAGATGGAGAAGCAGCAGCAGGAACAAGTGGACCGAAACATCAAAGATGCCCAAGAGAAGATGGAGATGGAGATGGAGGCTTCAAGACATGAGCACCAGGTGATGCTCATGCGGCAAGGTGAGCCTTTATTTCATGGGTGGTCTGCTTTACTGACAGCCCCACCCCCTTGGATACATGTTAGGAGGAGGGGGAGGCAGTATGTCCTCCGTGTGATGGGGGAGGCGGTGCGCCCTCCGTGTGATGGGGGAGGCGGTGCGCCCTCCGTGTGATGGGGGAGGCGGTGCGCCCTCCGTGTGATGGGGGGGAGGCGGTGCTGCGCCCTGGGGATGGGGGAGGCGGTGCTGCGCCCTCCGTGTGATGGGGGAGGCGGTGCGCCCTCCGTGTGATGGGGGAGGCGGTGCGCCCTCCGTGTGATGGGGGAGGCGGTGCGCCCTCCGTGTGATGGGGGATGGGGGAGGCGGCGGTGCGCCCTCCGTGTGATGGGGGGGAGGCGGTGCGCCCTCCGTGTGATGGGGGAGGCGGCGGTGCGCCCTCCGTGTGATGGGGGAGGCGGCGGTGCGCCCTCCGTGTGATGGGGGAGGCGGCGGTGCGCCCTCCGTGTGATGTCAGCTGACACCTTCACTCTTATTGAATACATGAGATTTCATTAACTGGACAATCTGTTATATTTGTAGATTTAATGAGACGGCAAGAAGAATTGCGCAGAATGGAGGAGCTGCACAACCAAGATGTGCAAAAACGCAAGCAGCTGGAGCTCAGGTATGCCTGATGTATAAAAGTCTGATTTGGTGCAGTTCTCACGGTGACCCTGGGGTGGTGCAGTTCTCACGGTGACCCTGGGGGTGGTTCTCACGGTGAGTGGTGCAGTTCTCACGGTGACCCTGGGGTGGTGCAGTTCTCACGGTGACCCTGGGGGTGGTGCAGTTCTCACAGTGACCCTGGGGTGGTGCAGTTCTCACGGTGACCCTGGGTAGCGCTGATGTTTTGGTAACCCTGGGTGGTGCCCGGTCCCATGATGACCCTGGGGTGGTGCCGGTCCCATGATGACCCTGGGGTGGTGCCGGTTCCCATGATGACCCTGGGGTGGTGCCCGGTCCCATGATGACCCTGGGGTGGTGCCGGTCCCATGATACCCTGGGTGGTGCCGGTCCCATGATACCCTGGGGGTGGTGCCGGTCCCATGATACCCTGGGTGGTGCCGGTCCCATGATGACCCTGGGTGGTGCCGGTCCCATGATGACCCTGGGTTGGTGCCGGTCCCATGATGACCCTGGGTGGTGCCGGTCCCATGATGACCCTGGGGGGTGGTGCCGGTCCCATGATGACCCTGGGTGGTGCCGGTCCCATGATGACCCTGGGTGGTGCCGGTCCCATGATGACCCTGGGGTGGTGCCGGTCCCATGATGACCCTGGGGTGGTTCAGGTCCCATGATGACCCTGGGGTGGTGCCGGTCCCATGATGACCCTGGGGTGGTGCCGGGTCCCATGATGACCCTGGGGTGGTGCCGGGTCCCTCTGATGACCCTGGGGTGGTGCCGGTCCCATGATGACCCTGGGGTGGTGCCAGGGTCCCATGATGACCCTGGGGTGGTGATGACCCGGTCCCATGATGACCCTGGGGTGGTTCCGGTCCCGTGATGGACCCTGGGGTGGTGCCGGTCCCATGATGACCCTGGGGTGGTGCCGGTCCCATGATGACCCTGGGGTGGTGCAGGTCCCATGATGACCCTGGGGTGGTGCCGGTCTCTGTGACCCTGGGTGGTGCCGGTCCCATGATGACCCTGGGGTGGTGCCAGGTCCCATGTGACCCTGGGGTGGTGCCGGTCCCATGATGACCCTGGGGTGGTGCCGGTCCCATGATGACCCTGGGGTGGTGCCGGTCCCATGATGACCCTGGGGTGGTGCCGGTCCCATGATGACCCTGGGGTGGTGCAGGAATGGTCCACATTAGTACTCCTTCTTGTTACACGGATCCTTCCCTTCTATCCTGCCCGGGTAGATGTGTCCTCGGGGGAGGGTCTGTCCGGCCCCCCCTCTGTATGACCCATCTTTATCATTGCAGACATGAGGAGGAGCGCAGGAGGCGTGAGGAGGAGACTCGCCGCCAGCAGGAGGAGATGCTGAGACGCCAGCAGGAAGGGTTCAAGAGCAGCTATCCAGATTCTGTAAGAAATGACACTGTGTGGGGGGGGGGCGGGGCGGGGGGGGGGGGGGGGGACAGGACAGAGTCCTTGATTCTGGTCAGATCCCCAATAGGGGTGTCTGGAGGAAAGCTTCACACGGTATTATTCAGACATGTTTTGGAGGTTGCCAGGGGCCCCCCATTAGCAGTTCTTGGGGGAGGGGGGGGGGGCGTTAGATGGGACCATATAGGCAGGAGTCGGGGAGGGGGGGGGTAGATGGGATCACATAGACAGGACCTGGGGGGGGGGGGCAGATCGGATCACATAGACAGGACCTGGGGGGAGGGGCAGATGGGATCACATAGACAGGACCTGAGAGGAGGGGGGGCAGATGGGATCACATAGACAGGACCTGGGGGGGGGGGCAGATGGGATCACATAGGACCTGGGGGACCTGGGGGGGGGGGGCAGATGGGATCACATAGACAGGACCTGGAGGGGGGGGGGGGGCAGATGGGATCACATAGACAGGACCTGGTGGGGGGGGGGGGGGCAGATGGGATCACATAGGACCTGGGGGGGGGGGGGCAGATGGAGTCACATAGACAGGACCTGGGGGGGAGGGGGGGGGGCAGATGGGATCACATAGACAGGACATGGGGGGAGGGGTTGTGGTTTTGTTTCCCATGCGCTGGAGATCTGTAACTGTGACACCATAGAACATGCCGGGCAGGATGACAGAACGCAGTCCGGCATGCAGGAACCTTCCTGACCTTGTTTTCTTTCCTCCAGAGAGAAGCTGACATGAGGATGGCGCAGATGGCAATGCCAGGTAAACCTGATGTCAGGATGGGGGGCGGAGTCACTCATCTGTCACCTTGTGCCGGTGGGGGGGGGGGGGGGAGAGACAGGCAAACAGATGGGGAGCCTGGTGGGGTGATGGGGCGAGCATGGACTGAGCCATGTAGGGGATGGGGGAGGGAGGGTGAGCGCGAGCATTGACTGAGCCATGTAGGGAATGGGGGGTAGGAGAGGGAGGGCGAGCATTGACTGAGCCATGATGGGGGGGGGGGGGGGGGGGGATGGGAGAGGGAGGGCGAGCATGGACTGAGCCACGTAGGGGATGGGAGGGGGGGGCGAGCATGGGAGCCACGTAGGGGATGGGAGAGGGAGGGCGAGCATGGACTGAGCACATGGGGGGGGGGTAGAGGGAGGGGAATGGACTGGGTAGGGGATGGGAGAGGGAGGGCGAGCATGGACTGAGCCACGTGGGGAGGAAGAGACAGAGGGGCAAACCTAGAGAGCCGGGTGGGGCGAGCGTAGACTGGGAGCCGGGTGGGGCGAGCGTAGACTGGGAGCGGGTGGGTGGCGGCGAGCGTAGACTGGGAGCCGTGGGGCGAGCGTAGATGGGAGCCGGGGGGGCGAGCGTAGACTGGGAGCCGGGTGGGGCGAGGCAGGTAGATGGGCCAGCCGGGTGGGGCTGTAGCCTAGACTGGGAGCCGGGTGGGGCGAGAACTCGGCAGACTGGGAGCCGGGTGGGCTTGGGAGCGAGACTGGGAGCCGGGGGGCGATGGCGATGGGGGGAGCGTAGATGGAGGGGGTGGGGGAGGCGGGGGCGTAGAGCGATCTGCGATCTGTCCTGCAGGGGGGGGGGGGGAGAACTCTGGCAGGCCTGACAACACTGCTTGGGATTTGAGTGCAGTAGAGGCAGCGTTGTCACCTCAGTACAGGAAGTTGGGATGGGTCCTTCCAGCAGAAGATGGGGACAGGACCTGTACTGTGTGGATGTGTCACAGGGAGCCCTGAGTGTGTATTGCAGAGATGGACGACGTGTGACTGCTGTTGTTTTCTTTTCTCCGACTCGTTTCATTGCAGCTCTGTGTGGTTTTGTGTTTTCTGCAGGTGCGATGGGGATGAGTAACCGCACCTCCCTGGGGAACAGCAGCGTCGCCGCAGGAAGTGCCACGCCCAGCGGGCCCAGCGCCATGATGCCGGATGCCACTGCAATGGGCATGGTGAGTCCATGGAGCACTAAAGGCCGATTTTCTTCCTCCCAGAACCACTTTCATGTGTTTTATTCCTGAATCGGCTATTCATTTTTTTTTCGTTATTACTCTCTTTAGACTCCACCCACAGCAGATCGCTTTGGTCAAGCCGCGAACTTGGAATCCCTCGCCGCTGCGACCAATCAGCAGGCCTTCCAGCGTGGCAGCGCAGCGGCCGATTACGCGTCCAAGCGCCGCCGATATTGATCCTTTGTTCTGCGCTCTTCAGCTGTACGACTTCTAGTGTGACTGGATTTGTGTTGGTAGTGTTCACCCCGTAAGGCCGTCTCTGGCGCGTTTCAAGAGACTTGTCTGAATTTTTTTAGTCACATTTTTTGTTGAGGCTTTTTTTTTTGGGGGGGGGGGGGGGGGGTGGATGGGGGGGGGGGGGGGTACCTGCTGGGGAGCAGAATCTTGTAAATGTGAACTTTTCCACGACAGTTGCTGATCTCCTCCGTAGTGTTCAGCAGGAAAGGCTCGTCCTTTTTTTTTTTTTTTTGGAGCGTTTTTTTTTTTTTTGTGTTTTTTTTTTTGGCCGCAATGCGATAAGTGCCATTGTGCCTCCCATTCCATACTGGGCGCGGTTCTAGGCTCCGCCCATCGGCCGTCTGTCCTGACCTCCATCGGGGAGGAGGCTCCTTTTTCTATGTGTTTTGGTTTCTCCTGAGCGGACCACACTTCATGTAGTCTTACGTCTTTTTTATTTTCTTTTCTTCTTCCTGTTGGGATCTTTTTTTTTCCCGATTCTTATGTCGGTTCTGCTGCGCTTCGGTAACATCTTTATCCTTCCTCACGTTTCCGTATGCGGCGCCCCCTGTCTACCCTAGTGGGAGGGGAATCCTGTATGGCTCCTCCTTCCTACCATAGTGGGAGGGGATTCCTGTATGGCGCCCCCTGTCTACCCTAGTGGGAGGGGGAATCCTGTATGGCTCCTCCTTCCTACCATAGTGGGATGGGGATTCCTGTATGGCGCCCCCTGTCTACCCTAGTGGGAGGGGAATCCTGTATGGCTCCTCCTTCCTACCATAGTGGGAGGGGGATCCTGTATGGCTCCTCCTTCCTACCATAGTGGGAGGGGAATCCTGTATGGCTCCTCCTTCTACCATAGTGGGAGGGGATTCCTGTATGGCTTTTTCCTGTCTACCATAGTGGGAGGGGATTCCTGTATGGCTCCTCCTGCCTACATTAGTGGGAGGAGGATTCCTGTATGGCGCCTCCTTCCTACATTAGTGGGAGGGGATTCTTGTATGGCGCCTCCTTCCTACCATAGTGTAAGGGGATTCCTGTATGGCGCCTCCTTCCTACCATAGTGGGAGGGGATTCCTGTATGGCTTTTCCTGTCTACCATAGTGGGAGGGGATTCCTGTATGGCTCCTCCTGCCTACATTAGTGGGAGGGGATTCCTGTATGGCGCCTCCTTCCTACATTAGTGGGAGGGGATTCTTGTATGGCGCCTCCTTCCTACATTAGTGGGAGGGGATTCCTGTATAGCTCCTCCTTCCTACCATAGTGGGAGGGGATTCCTGTATGGTTCCTCCTTCCTACCATAGTGGGAGGGGATTCCTGTATGGCGCCTCCTTCCTACATTAGTGGGAGGGGATTCCTGTATGGCTCCTTCCTACATTAGTGGGAGGGGATTCCTGTATAGCTTCTCTCCTTCCTACCATAGTGGGAGGGGATTCCTGTATGGTTCCTCCTTCCTACCATAGTGGGAGGGGATTCGTGTATGGCTCCTCCTTCCTACATTAGTGGGAGGGGATTCCTGTATGGCGCCTCCTTCCTACATTAGTGGGAGGAGATTCCTGTATGGCTCCTCCTGCCTACATTAGTGGGAGGGGATTCCTGTATGGCTCCTCCTGCCTACATTAGTGGGAGGGGATTCCTGTATGGCGCCTCCTTCCTACATTAGTGGGAGGGGATTCTTGTATGGCGCCTCCTTCCTACATTAGTGGGAGGGGATTCCTGTATGGCTCCTCCTTCCTACATTAGTGGGAGGGGATTCCTGTATGGCTCCTCCTTCCTACCATAGTGGGAGGGGATTTCGTGTATGGCTCCTCCTGCCTACCATAGTGGGAGGAGATTCCTGTATGACTCCTCCTACCTACCATAGCGGGGATGGGGGGGGGGGGGGGGATTAGATTGGTTTATCAGCAATGCAAATTGTGAAGCAGTTCATAAATAAATGGGATTTTAAACCTTTGTTTTCTAGAAGTCTGTCTCTTCTTTTGCGTTCATATTAAAGTGTTCTTAACCACTCGACCTCTGCAAGATTTACCACCCCCATGACCAGGCCGGTTTCTGCTGTATGGTGCTATGTCATTTATTGATTTTATTACACAAATAGAGCTTTTATCTTGGTGGGAATTTGATCATCTCTGGGATTTTTTATATTTTGCAACATAAATGAACAAAACTAAAATTTAAACAATATTTTTCACTTTTTTGCTAAAAGACATTAAAAAAAATAAACTGCAAAACATTTAGGCCAAAATGTATTCTAACTTGTCTTTGGTTTAAAAAAATGAAAATTCTGTACATGGCAGCACACAGGGCTGTTCACACTGAAGCGTTAGCGTTGCGGCAAAACTGACGCCACCTGTGGAGTCAGGAGGAGTTGAAGCCCCCCCCCCCCCCCCCCCCCGTTCAAGTCTATGAATGCAGAATGGTGTGGACAGACGTGATTGTGAGCAGAGCGGCGGCGCTGTAGCAGTAAAGCTGCTATGGGGCGGCCAGGACGGGGTTAACCACTCTGGGGAATAAGTGAAGCAGCGCACTTCTAAAATCCCTCATCCTTCCCTCCCCTTCCCTCCCCCAGCCCGACATTTCAGTACAATTAGTAATCAGAAAATTAAAGTGGAATTTCAGTTGAAAATAAATCAAATTCTGGCCTCGCTTAGATTTCAGATCTAAAACTTTTATATTCTGCTTGTGTTTAATTGCCTCAGTGTCCAGACCAGTGATCTCCAAACGGCGGCCCAGGGGCCAGATGTAGCCCTTGCCCATGCGTCGCGGACAGGAGTGACGGGGTCGCTGTTCCCCCCCCCCCGGGACAGGAATGACGGACGGGGTCGCTGTTCCCCCCCCCCCCCCCCCCCCCCCCCCGGACAGGAGTGACGGGGTCGCTGTTCCCCCCCCCCCCCCCCCCCCCCCCCCGTAGGACAGGAGTGACGGGGTCGCTGTTCCCCCCCCCGCGGACCAGGAGTGACGGGGTCGCTGGTCCCCCCCCCGCGGACAGGAGTGACGGGGTCGCTGTTCCCCCCCCCCCCGCGGACAGGATGACGGGGTCGCTGTTCCCCCCCCCCCCCCCCCCGACGACAGGAGTGACGGGGTCGCTGTTCCCCCCCCACCCCCCCCCCCCCCCCCCCCCCACCCGGACAGGAGTGACGGGGTCGCTGTTCCTCCCCCCCGCACGGAACAGGAGTGACGCGGGGGGGGGTCGCTGTTCCTCCCCCCCGCGGACAGGAGTGACGGGGTCGCTGTTCCTCCCCCCCCAGCGGACAGGAGTGACGGGGTCGCTGTTCCTCCCCCCCCGCGGACAGGAGTGACGGGGGTCGCTGTTCCCCCCCCCCCGCGGACAGGGAGTGACGGGGGTCGCTGTTCCCCCCCCCCGCGGACAGGAGTGACGGGGGTCGCTGTTCCTGTTAACCCCCCCCCCCCCCCGCGGACAGGAGTGACGGGGTCGCTGTTCCCCCCCTCCCCCCGCGGACAGGAGTGACGGGGGGTCGCTGTTCCTCCCCCCCGCGGACAGGAGTGACGGGGTCGCTGTTCCTCCCCCCCGCGGACAGGAGTGGACGGATGGTCGCTGTTCCTCCCCCCCGCGGACAGGAGTGACGGGGTCGCTGTTCCTCCCCCCCCCCGCGGACAGGAGTGACGGGGTCGCTGTTCCCCCCCCCCCCGCGGACAGGAGTGACGGGGTCGCTGTTCCCCCCCCCCCCATTGCGGACAGGAGTTGACGGGGGCGCTGTTCCTCCCCCCCGCGGACAGGAGTGACGGGGTCGCTGTTCCCCCCCCCCCCCCCCCCCGCGGACAGGAGTGACGGGGGGTGTCGCTGTTCCCCCCCCCGCGGACAGAGTGACGGGGTGGCGCTGTCCCCCCCCCCCCCCCCGCGGACAGGAGTGACGGGGTCGCTGTTTTCCCCACCCCCCCCCCCCCCCCCCCCCCGCGGACAGGAGTTGACGCGGGGGGCGCTGTTTCCCCCCCCCCCCCCCCCCCCCCCGCGGACAGGAGTGGCGGGGTCGCTGTCCCCCCCCCCCCCCCCGCGGACAGGAGTGACGGGGGTCGCTGTTCACCCCCCCCCCCCCCCCCCCCCCGCGGACAGGAGTGACGGGGTCGCTCCTCCCTTTCCTCCCCCCCCCCCCCGGCGGACAGGAGTGACGGGGTCGCTGTTCCCCCCCCCCCCCCCCCGCGGACATGAGTGACGCCGGTGGTCGCTGTTCCTTCCCCGACCCCCCCCCCCCCCCCCCCCCCCCCCCCCCCCCCCCGGACTCAGGAGTGACGCGGGGGCGCTGTTCCCCCCCCCACAGGAGTGACGCCAATCCCCCCCCGCGGACTAATTTATTCATAAAGGAGTAGACGGGCGGCTGTTCCCCCCCCCCACAGAGTGACGGGTGGCGCCCCCCCCGCGGACAGGAGTGACGGGAGGTGGTCGCTGTTCCCCCCCCCAGGACCCCAACTGCCATTTGTTGTTCCCCTCACCCCCCGCCAGGAGTGACGGGGGGTAGGCTGCTTTCCCCCCCCCCCCCCCCCCGCGGACAGGAATGACGGGGTCGCTGCTCTCCCCCCCCCTCCCTAGTGACGGGACAGGAGTGGACGGGGTGTTAACCCCCCCCCCACTGACGCCAATGCCAGGCCGCTGTTCCTCCCGCGGACTCCCAGGAAGGGAGCGTTGTTCCTCCCACTGACGCCAATGCCGGGGCGCTGTCATAATCTAATTTATTCATAAAGTTTACTTTACACAATCTAGAAGGGCTTGTTTCACCATTGACTTTTTCCCGCACGCCCCTCTGGCATTTGACAGGCGTTTGGGAAGCGGTTTAAACACTCGCCAACTGCCATTTGTGCAGTTTGGGGGCGGGTTATAGGCGTTGAAAACCGCACCACAAATTCCTATGATGAAGTTAATGGTAGTAACGCCTGCCAGGTGTTTGAGCTTCAGTGTGAACAGCGCTGTGTGCTGCCATGTGTATCATTAACATGGGCGTTTGTGGAGCGTTTTTAACCCCTTCCGTCCGCCCATGTACATAAACAGCCGGACGGGAGCAGTGCAGGAGCGGGTTGCTGTTCATAAATGGCGCCCATATTTTAAGGTTGTGCGCGTTCCCTGGGAGCGCGCGCGGCACCGCGATCCGGTGCCCGCCGTGTCCTGAGGACACAGCGGAATGCTGATCGCTGTACAGGACCTCCTGTGTGAGTTCCCAGTTCATGTGATCACTGATCGGCAAATCAGTGATCACATGAATCGTAGTAAACAAGGTGTCACTTCTTACATCATTGCTTACTACGTCTGAAAGATCACAGAGATCACTTGGTACAGGGCCATTCACAACAGCCTTGTACCATGTGACAAGCTGTGTCCAATCACAGATCTCACAGTATTTCTCAATGGCTGCTGAAGAAGAAATGGTTGTGAAATCTGTGGATGATCACAGAGATCACATGCTACAGGGCTATTCACAACAGCTTTGTACCATGTGACAAGCTGTGACCAATCACAGATCTCACAGTATTTCTCAATGGCTGCAGGAATGCAGCCAGAGAGAAGGAGAAATTATTGCTTGTACAGCCTTTATGGGTGTAAGAAAAAAAAAAAAAAAATCATCTCCCCACAAGTACTACAGTGTCACCATGGTAACACCACACTGCTAGGAAGACGGTATGTTAAAAAAACAAACATAATATAAAAAAAATACAATAAAAATGTAAAAACATTTTATTTAAAATTTATTTTTGATTAAAAACTAATTTGGGTTATTTTTTGATTAATAAAAAAATAACGGAATGCATTTTGACCGCGATTTATGAAGAAAGATTATTTATTTGCAAAATTTTATAAGAAAAACTTTTTTTCAAAATTTTTGCACTTTTTCATTTATATAGCAAAAAAAAAAAAATAAAAATATCCCAGCGGTGAATAAATACCACCAAAATAAAGCTTTATCTGTCTCAAATAAATGCTAAAAAATCATATGGGTCCAGTGTTGCATGACCGCGCAATTATCATTCACAGTGTGATAGAGCTGAAAGCTGAAAATTGCCTGGACTGGAAAGGGGGAGGGAAAGTGCCTGGACTGGAAGGGGGGGGGGGGGGAGAGTGTCCGGACTGGAAGGGGGGGGGGGGGGGGGGAATGTTGGGACTGGAAGGGGGAGGAGAGTGTCCGGACTGGAAGGGGGGGGGGGAGTGTCCGGACTGGAAGGGGGAGGGGAGTGTCCGGACTGGAAGGGGGAGGAGAGTGTCCGTACTGGAAGGGGGAGGAGAGTGTCGGGACTGGAAGGGGGGGGGGGGGGGAGTGTCCGGACTGGAAGGGGGGGGGGGGGGGAGTGTCCGGACTGGAAGGGGGAGGGGAGTGTCCGGACTGGAAGGGGGAGGAGAGTTTCCGGACTGGAAGGGGGGGGGGGGGGGGGGAGTGTCGGGACTGGAAAGGGGGGGGGGGGGGAGTGTCTGGCCTGGAAGGGGGGGGGGGGGGGGGAGTGTCGGGACTGGAAGGGGGGGGGGGGGGGGGAGTGTCTGGCCTGGAAGGGGTTAACGATGCTCCTGGACCGCCTGCATACAAAGCTAGTGTGAACTGATCCTGAATGTGTTCTGCTCCGTGTCTTCAGTAGAGGAGACCCCCAGGAAATGTGTATTGATTGGTTTGTGTGGAAGTTGTAGCGTCTAGAATTGGATTGGACGCAGCTACAGCCACCATCCTAGTAATGGGGGGGATCAGCAATGTATGGTGGGACTATGATGGGGCTGGGGGACAGTCTGGTGATAACTGCCACCCCGGCTGCCACAGATCTGTTCCCATTTCTGCCACGAGGGACCGACCTGTGAGACCCGAAGTGGCAGCACACGTGGGATGTCATGTATTTCTGTGAGGCCAGTTCCATCCGACACGACTGAAGTCGCCGAATCTTCCTGAATGGAACACGACTTGGATACGGCTTCAGAGGAACACAACACCCAGACAACCAGCAATCCCTGAGCCTTACCGACAACAGTGTGCCTGTGCCCCTGAATGTGTCCACCAATGGGCTCCACCATGATCTGTGTATTCATTAGATCACGGTTTTGATTAGCCCCGCCCCCAACCAGCAACTGCAATATGCTGCGGCTCCTCTTGGCATCATAGTATTGCAGCTACTCAGTAGCCACACTGGGAAAGGTGACGGACTTCACCGGCTCGTGATTGGAGCATATTTATGTAAGTAAGGTACAAGAAAACATCTAGATAACATTTCACACAAAATATCCGCTCTCCCGGACCCCACATTCACTGTATCCGCTCTCCCCGACCCGCATTCACCGTATCCGCTTTTCCCCGGACCCCACATTCACCGTATCCGCTTTCCCCGGACCCCACATTCACCGTATCCGCTCTCCCGGACCCGCATTCACTATATCCGCTCTCCACGACCCCCGCATTCACCGTATCCGCTCTCCCCGGACCCCACATTCACCGTATCCGCTCTCCCCGGACCCCACATTCACTGTATCCGCTCTCCCCGGACCCCGCATTCACCGTATCCGCTTTCCCCGGACCCCACATTCACCGTATCCGCTTTCCCCGGACCCCCACATTCACCGTATCCGCTCTCCCCGGACCCCGCATTCATATATCCGCTCTCCCGGACCCGCATTCACCGTATCCGCTCTCCCCGGACCCCACATTCACCGTATCCGCTCTCCCGGACCCCGCATTCACTATATCCGCTCTCCCCGGACCCCGCATTCACCGTATCCGCTCTCCCCGGACCCCACATTCACCATATCCGCTTTCCCCGGACCCGCATTCACCGTATCCGCTCTCCCCGGACCCCGCATTCACCGTATCCGCTCTCCCGGACCCCGCATTCACCGTATCCGCTCTCCCCGGACCCCGCATTCACGATATTCCGCTCTCCCCGGACCTGCATTCTCTATATCCGCTCTCCCCGGACCCCTCATTCACCGTATCCGCTCTCCCCGGACCCCGCATTCACCGTATCCGCTCTCCCCGGACCGCGCATTCACCGTATCGCTCTCCCCGGACCCCACATTCACCGTATCCGCTCTCCCCGGACCCCGCATTCACCGTATCCGCTCTCCCGGACCCGCATTCACCGTATCCGCTCTCCCGGACCCCGCATTCACCGTATCCGCTCTCCCCGAACCCCGCATTCACCGTATCCGCTCTCCCCGGACCGCGCATTCACCGTATCCGCTCTCCCGGACCGCGCATTCACCGTATCCGCTCTCCCCGGACCCCGCATTCACCGTATCCTCTCCCCGGACCCCGCATTCACCGTATCCGCTCTCCCCGGACCCCGCATTCACCGTATCCGCTCTCCCCGGACCCCGCATTCACCGTATCCGCTCTCCCCGGACCCGCATTCACCATATCCGCTCTCCCCGGACCCCGCATTCACTATATCCGCTCTCCCCGGACCCCGCATTCACCGTATCCCGCTCTCCCCGGACCCCGCATTCACCGTATCCGCTCTCCCGGACCCCGCATTCACCGTATCTCCGCTCTCCCGGACCCCGCATTCACCGTATCCGCTCTCCCGGACCCCGCATTCACCGTATCCGCTCTCCCCGGACCCCGCATTCACCGTATCCGCTCTCCCCGGACCCGCATTCACCGTATCCGCTCTCCCCGGACCCCGCATTCACCGTATCCGCTCTCCCGGACCCGCATTCACCGTATCCGCTCTCCCCGGACCCCGCATTCGCTATATCCGCTCTCCCCGGACCCCGCATTCGCCATATCCGCTCTCCCCGGACCCCGCATTCGCTATATCCGCTCTCCCCGGACCCTGAATTCACCATATCCGCTCTCCCCGGACCCCGCATTCACCATATCCGCTCTCCCCGGACCCCGCATTCACCATATCCGCTCTCCCCGGACCCCGCATTCACTATATCCGCTCTCCCCGGACCCCGCATTCGCTATATCCGCTCTCCCCGGACCCCGCATTCGCTATATCCGCTCTCCCCGGACCCCGCATTCGCCATATCCGCTTTCCCGGACCCCGCATTCACCATATCCGCTCTCCCGGACCCCGCATTCACCATATCCGCTCTCCCCGGACCCCGCATTCACTATATCCGCTCTCCCCGGACCCCGCATTCACTATATCCGCTCTCCCCGAACCCCGCATTCACTATATCCGCTCTCCCCGGACCCCGCATTCGCTATATCGCTTTCCCCGGACCCCGCATTCCCCGTATCCGCTCTCCCGGACCCCGCATTCACTATATCCGCTCTCCCCGGACCCCCATTCACCGTATCCGCTCTCCCCGGACTCCGCATTCACTATATCCGCTCTCCCGGACCCCGCATTCGCTATATCCGCTCTCCCCGGACCCGCATTCACCGTATCCGCTCTCCCGGACCCCGCATTCACCGTATCCGCTCTCCCCGGACCCCGTATTCACTATGTCCGCTCTCCCGGACCCCGCATTCACCGTATCCGCTCTCCCCGGACCCCGCATTCACCATGTCCGCTCTCCCCGGACCCCGCATTTACCGTATCTGCTCTCCCGGACCCTGCATTCACCATATCCGCTCTCCCCGGACCCCGCATTCACCATATCCGCTCTCCCCGGACCCGCATTCACTATTTTTCGCTCTCCCCGGACCCCGCATTCACCGTATCCGCTCTCCCCGGTCCCCGCATTCACTATATCCGCTCTCCCCGGACCCCGCATTCACTATATCCGCTCTCCCCGTACCCCGCATTCACCATATCCGCTCTCCCCGGACCCGCATTCACCGTATATCCCGCTCTTCCCCGGACCCCGCATTCACCGTATCCGCTCTCCCCGGACCCCGCATTCACTGTATCCGCTCTCCCCGGACCCCGCATTCACTGTATCCGCTCTCCCCGGACCCCGCATTCACTGTATCCGCTCTCCCCGGACCCCGCATTCACCATATCTGCTCTCCCAGGACCCCGCATTCACCATATTCGTTCTCCCCGGACCCCGCATTCACTATTTTCGGTCTCCCTGGACCCCGCATTCACCGTATCCGTTCTCCCTGGACCCCGCATTCACCGTATCCGCTATCCCGGACCCCGCATTCACCGTATCCGCTCTCCCCGGACCCCGCATTCACCGTATCCGCTCTCCCCGGACCCCGCATTCACCGTATCCGCTCTCCCCGAACCCCGCATTCACCGTATCCGCTGTCCCCGGACCCGCATTCACTACATCCGCTTGTAGGATGTACCATTCCAGAATCATGTCCACCAATATAGAGTTCCCCTCCCCATATGGCCATTATAATATGGACTTCCCCAACTTTGTAGCTCTAACATCCTCCACTCTTCTGGGAAGGTTTTTCACAAGATTTTGTAGGGTGTTTGTGGCAATTTCTCCCATTTGTGTGGTCAGGTGCTGATGTTGGGTAAGAAGACCCGGCTCACCATCCACACTCCACCCTAAAGGTGTTCAGTAGGAGATGAGGTCAGGGCTCTGTACAGGACACTCGAGTTCCTCCATGACCTCACCCCTACTGAACACCATTGGGGTGAGGAGACCTCATGTCAGACGTGTTCCGTAGGGTTGAGGGCAGGTATTGATGTTGGGTGAGGAGACCTTATACCAAAAGTAGGGTTGAGGTCAGGGCTCTGTACAGGATACTGGAGTTCTTCCACACCAAACTGGTCCTCCATGTCTTTATGGAGCTGGCTTTGTACACGGGGGACAGTCATGGGGGACAGAAAAGGGTCTTCACCAAACTGGTCATCCATGTCTTTATTGAACTGGCTTTGTACATGGGGGACAGGGGACAGTCATGAGGGACAGAAAAGGGTCTTCACCAAACTGGTCATCCATGTCTTTATGGAGCTGGCTTTGTACACGGGGGACAGTCATGGGGGGACAGAAAAGTTGGGGACAGAAAGGGTCTTCACCAAACTAGTCATCCATGTCTTTATGGAGCCGGCTTTGTACACGGGGGGACAGTCATGGGGGGACAGAAAAGGGTCTTCACCAAACTGGTCATCCATGTCTTTATGGAGCCGGCTTTGTACACGGGGGGCAGTCATGGGGGGACAAAAAAGGGTCTTCACCAAACTGGTCATCCATGTCTTTATGGAGCCGGCTTTGTACACGTGGTGACAGTCATGGGGGAACAGAAAAGGGTCTTCACCAAACTGGTCATCCATGTCTTTATGGAGCCGGCTTTGTACACGAGGGACAGTCATGGGGGGACAGAAAAGGGTCTTCACCAAACTGGTCATCCATGTCTTTATGGAGCTGGCTTTGTACACAGGGGACAGTCATGGGGGAACAGAAAAGGGTCTTCACCAAACTGGTCCTCCATGTCTTTATGGAGCTGGCTTTGTACACAGAGGACAGTCATGGGGGAACAGAAAAGGGTCTTCACCAAACTGTTACCACAAGGCTGCAAGAGCACAATTGTCTCCAATGTCTTTTGTATGATGGAGGAAAAGGATTGGTTTGTGTTCGATTTTTATTTGACATTTTTGAAACATTTTAATGGGCGATAAATGTCTGCTGAGGGCTACAGAAGCTCCTCCCTCCTATCCTGGACTTGTTGTACCAAAAAAAACGCCCCATTAGCCTCATTATTTTATATCTTTAACAAAAACCACGGCGGGGAAAAAACCTCCAGGATCTCCGAAATCAATTAATTTTTTCTTTGGATGGAGTGGAGAAGGGTTAGACCCCGTCAGGGTTATGGTGGAGTCTGTGTCCCCCCGCTGGCAAGATCCACCCTCTATCTGCCCTGGTGTCACTGAGACAGAAAGTGATGGGAAATCCAATATTTTATAAAAGGAATTGAGGGGAAATCTTCCAATGGGGACACCGGTTCCAGTGAAAACTGAGAGATTTCCTCACATTTTGGAGAGATTTCCTTTCACTTTTTGTTGTGTTTATAGAACAGGAAGTGAAGGGAATCTTCTGAACACAGAAAACCCCGAACCCCTCATTCTGCCTGAAAATCAAAAGGAAAAGTTTTGTCTTTTAATATACGTCACTTTTTTCTTCTATAATTTGTCCTGTTTATGATAAGACTTGAGTCATAAAAATGTGTAAAATCGTTGTCACCAGGACAGGAAGTGAGGGAAATCTCTCTAATGGGGCCCCAGAGAGCAGAGAAAACCTGATGGGGTCCTAACCCTCCCCCACTCTATCCAAAGCTAGAAATAAAACCATTTTTGGATTACAATACAATTTAGGGACAACGCTGAAAACAGGTGAAGTGCAGCTGCCGGGTGTAAATGGGAATCTACAGATGTCAGAGTCAGTACTACATATTCACTGGAAGAAAGAAATGATTCACACCTTTTATACCCGAGCATGAGAAAAAACCAACTCTATACAGAAGTAGCACACATTCGCTTCCAGAATTTTGGTGGAATCTTTTATTCTGGCACTAATAATGGCTCAGCATGGGCGGCCTCTGTGCTGTAAGTCCCGCCCCCGCAGAGCGGTGTAACTCAGTGGTGTCCAATAGGTCAGTAGAGATGTCTGTGAGTTGCAGGATGGTCACATGTCAGTGTCATCTTCCTGCTGGGGGGACGTCTGTGCAGGAAGTCCCTGTCATGTGATGGACACGGCGAGGACTGAGCGTCTTCTGTCGGTTGGTGTCTTCGGCTTCTAAAGATTCTGGGGGAAGATTTTCATTCTCCCTCAAACATGCGACACATTCGCTTCATTCCATTCAGTAGAACGTTGATTCCACCTCTAATATATCCTCAGCGTAGGACTTGTATAGCGCTTTCCTCCTGGGGGCTCAAAGAATTTGGAGATTGTGTTGGCCGGGAATCCAACCCGAGTCTACTGCTTGCAAAGCAGGTGTGCTAACCACTGCACCACCAGCACTAGGTAGCATGTCTTTGAAGTGTGGGAGGAAACCGGAGTACCGGAGGAAACCCACGCAAGCACAGGGAGAAGGCTAACCACTTAGCCTCTGTACTGCCCATATTTGGCCTCTGTTCTCTGAGGCCCG